CCATAGACTGAATGAATCTATGACCTGGAATAGTAACGAAAGCGATGATCGCGCATAGACTGCATGAATCTATGACCGGGAATTGTAATGAAAGCAATGATCGCCCATAGACTGAAAGAATCTATGACCTGTATTGCAATGAAAGCAATGATCGCACATATACTGAATGAATCTATGACCTGGAATTGTAATGAAAGCAATGATCCCACATAAAGAGAATGAATCTATGACTTGGAATTGTAATGAAACTTATTCTTCGCCCATAGACTGAATGAATCTATGACCGGGAATAGTAACGAAAGCGATGATCGCGCATAGAGTGCATGAATCTATGACCGGGAATAGTAACGAAAGCGATGATCGCGCATAGAGTGCATGAATCTATGACCTGGAATTATAATGAAAGCAATGATCGCACATAGACTGAATGAATCTATGACCGGGAATTGTAACGAAAGCAATGATCCCACATACAGTGAATGAATATATGACTTGAAATTGTAATGAAAGTTATTCTTCGTCCATAGACTGAATGAATCTATGACCGGGAATAGTAACGAAAGCGATGATCGCGCATAGAGTGCATGAATCTATGACCTGGAATTATAATGAAAGCGATGATCGCACATAGACTGAATGAATCTATGACCTGGAATAGTAATGAAAGCAATGATCGCACATAGACTGAATGAATCTATGACCGGGAATTGTAACGAAAGCAATGATCCCACACACAGTGAATGAATATATGACTTGGAATTGCAATAAAAGTTATTCTTCGTCCATAGACTGAATGAATCTATGACCTGGAATTGTAATGAAAGCAATGATCGCACATAGACTGAATGAATCTATGACCGGGAATTGTAACGAAAGCAATGATCCCACATAGAGAGAATGAATCTATCACATGGAATTGTAATGAAAGTTATTGTTCGCCCATAGACTGAATGAATCTATGACCTGGAATTGTAATGAAAGCATTGATCGCACAGAGACTGAATGAATCTATGACCTGGAATTGTAATGAAAGCAATGATCGCACATAGACTGAATGAATCTATGACCTGGAATTGTAATGAGAGCAATGATCCCACATAGAGAGAATGAATCTATGACTTGGAATTGTAATGAAAGTTATTCTTCGCCCATAGACTGAATGAATCTATGACCTGGAATAGTAACGAAAGCGATGATCGCACATAGACTGCATGAATCTATGACCGGGAATTGTAACGAAAGCAATGATCCCACACACAGTGAATGAATATATGACTTGGAATTGCAATAAAAGTTATTCTTCGTCCATAGACTGAATGAATCTATGACCTGGAATTGTAATGAAAGCAATGATCGCACATAGACTGAATGAATCTATGACCGGGAATTGTAACGAAAGCAATGATCCCAATACACAGTGAATGAATATATGACTTGGAATTGCAATAAAAAGTTATTCTTCGTCCATAGAATGAATGAATCTATGACCTGGAATTGTAATGAAAGCAATGATCGCACATAGACTGAATGAATCTATGACCGGGAATTGTAACGAAAGCAATGATCCCACATACAGTGAATGAATGTATGACTTGGAATATAATGAAAGTTATTGTTCGCCTATAATCTGAATGAATCTATGACCTGGAATAGTAAGGACAGCGATGATCGCGCATATATTGAATGAATCTATGACCGGGAATATTAACGAAAGCGATAATCGCGCGTAGACTGCATGAATTTATGACCTGCAATAGTAAGGAAAGCGATGATCGCGCATAGACTGAATGAATTTATGACCCGGGATAGTAACGAAAGCGATGATCGTCCATAGACTGAATAAATCTATGACCTGGAATAGTAACGAAAGCGATGCTCGCACATAGACTGAATGAATCTATGACCTGGAATCGTAATGAAAGCAATGATCCCACATAGACTGAATGAATCTATGACCTGGAATAGTAAGGACAGCGATGATCGCGCATAGACTGAATGAATCTATGACTTGGAATTGTAATGAAAGTTATTGTTCGCCCATAGACTGAATGAATCTATAATCTGGAATTGTAATGAAAGCAATGATCGCACATAGACTGAATGAATCTATGACCTGGAATAGTAACGAAAGCGATGATCGCGCATAGACTGAATGAATCTATGACTTGGAATTGTAATGAAAGTTATTGTTCGCCCATAGACTGAATGAATCTATGACCGGGAATTGTAATGAAAACAATGATCGCACATAGACTGAATGAATCTATGACCGGGAATAGTAACGAAAGCGATGATCGCACATAGAGTGAATGAATATATGACTTGGAATTGTAATGAAAGCTATTCTTCGTCCATAGACTGAATGAATCTATGACCTGGAATAGTAACGAATGCGATGATCGCACATAGACTGAATGAATCTATGACCTGGAATTATAATGAAAGCGATGATCGCACATAGACTGAATGAATCTATGACCTGGAATAGTAATGAAAGCAATGATCGCACATAGACTGAATGAATCTATGACCGGGAATTGTAACGAAAGCAATGATCCCACATACAGTGAATGAATCTATGACCTGGAATTGTAATGAAAGCAATGATCGCCCATAGACTGAATGAATCTATGACCGGGAATAGTAACGAAAGCGATGATCGCGCATAGAGTGCATGAATCTATGACCTGGAATTATAATGAAAGCGATGATCGCACATAGACTGAATGAATCTATGACCTGGAATAGTAATGAAAGCAATGATCGCACATAGACTGAATGAATCTATGACCGGGAATTGTAACGAAAGCAATGATCCCACACACAGTGAATGAATATATGACTTGGAATTGCAATAAAAGTTATTCTTCGTCCATAGACTGAATGAATCTATGACCTGGAATTGTAATGAAAGCAATGATCGCACATAGACTGAATGAATCTATGACCGGGAATTGTAACGAAAGCAATGATCCCACATACAGTGAATGAATATATGACTTGGAATATAATGAAAGTTATTGTTCGCCTATAATCTGAATGAATCTATGACCTGGAATAGTAAGGACAGCGATGATCGCGCATAGATTGAATGAATCTATGACCGGGAATATTAATGAAAGCGATAATCGCGCGTAGACTGCATGAATTTATGACCTGCAATAGTAAGGAAAGCGATGATCGCGCATAGACTGAATGAATCTATTACCGGGAATTGTAATTAAAGCATTGATCGCACAGAGACTGAATGAATCTATGACCTAGAATTGTAATGAAAGCAATGATCGCACATAGACTGAATGAATTTATGACCCGGGATAGTAACGAAAGCGATGATCGTCCATAGACTGAATAAATCTATGACCTGGAATAGTAACGAAAGCGATGCTCGCACATAGACTGAATGAATCTATGACCTGGAATCGTAATGAAAGCAATGATCCCACATAGACTGAATGAATCTATGACCTGGAATAGTAAGGACAGCGATGATCGCGCATAGACTGAATGAATCTATGACTTGGAATTGTAATGAAAGTTATTGTTCGCCCATAGACTGAATGAATCTATGATCTGGAATTGTAATGAAAGCAATGATCGCACATAGACTGAATGAATCTATGACCAGGAATAGTAACGAAAGCGATGATCGCGCATAGACTGAATGAATCTATGACTTGGAATTGTAATGAAAGTTATTGTTCGCCCATAGACTGAATGAATCTATGACCGGGAATTGTAATGAAAACAATGATCGCACATAGACTGAATGAATCTATGACCGGGAATTGTAATGAAAGCAATGATCACACATAGACTGAATGAATCTATGACCTGGAATTGTAATGAAAGCAATGATCGCACATAGACTGAATGAATCTATGACCTGGAATTGTAATGAAAGCAATGATCGCACATAGACTGAATGAATCTATGACCTGGAATTGTAATGAAAGTTATTGTTCGCCCATAGACTGAATGAATCTATGACCTGGAATTGTAATGAAAGCAATATATATATATATATATATATATATATATATATATATATATATATATATATATATATATATATGTATGTATGTATGTTTCATTAAATAATATAGACATGTTTTGTCTATTTATTTTAAGTCCCTTTTATATTGTATGATAAGCTTAATCACATTATCGTTGTAAGACGATAGGATATCATCATATTGATACATGTTTAAATCTAATCTAAACTTTAGGCTTACATAAGCCATTATTAAAGATGACAATTACATTTCAATATATGAAATACATGGACGAAACAATAATGATATTTTGTTGCATGAAAAATTTCAAAGCAATGACAAACTCGTGCATACTTAATACTTCTCGTTTTCACTCTCGCGTGGTCATGTTTGACGTCACGAGCTGCGACGCGATTTTCGCGTCCGCGTCTCGTATACACGACTGCACGCTCCACTTCCAAAAAAAACATATTTCGATTTTCATTATGTTTTTTCGTCTCAGATTCTACCTGAATTTTACCAGAAAGAAAGTATTTTCTCTGCCTGATGATGACCGGAGAACCCGTTGAAAGTACTTGCATATTTAAGGAAGACCTAATACAGTTTATAATTTTAAAAAATAACATTCATTGAGTGCCTAGTGGGATAATGCATTTTTAAAAATTTCGTTAGCGAATGGATTTCATCATTTTATCTCATTAACTTTATTCCTTTAATTTCTATATGAATGATTCAGTGTAATATATATATATATATATATATATATATATATATATATATATACGTGTTAGTCGGATATAGAATCCAGAAAGTTAAGAAATGAAACAAAGTGGAAAAGCTTTTTAATGACAACACCTTATGTGTCCGTGTATAAGTAAAAATGCCGCTTGCTTATTTCGTCATTTTACAACATGTGGGCCGGGCGGAGAACATTTTTAACACCTCCTTGTATATACGAGATAAAAACAAAATAACTGGGAGAAGTTTAATTTAAGACAGAGATACATATGAATAGATAGATAGATAGATAGATAGATAGATAGATAGATAGATAGATAATCGTGTATAGACTGAGTGGATAGATTTCGGGAAGTTGGTTGGTCTTTCAAAGTTTTAAACCCTTGTATATTTCAAATAAAAGCAAAATAACTTAAATTTATGTTATTGCAAATAGAAAGATGTGATACGTATGAATATGCTGATAGATAGATAGATAGATAGATAGATAGATAGATAGATAGATAGATAGATAGATTGACTTCAGCAAGTGGGCCAGACTGAGAAAATTTTAACACCTCCTTGTATCTATGACATAAAAGAAAATGTCTGCAAGAGAATTAGATAGATAGATAGATAGATAGATAGATAGATAGACTTCAGCAAGTGGGCCAGGCTGAGAAAGTTTTAACACCTCCTTGTATCTATGACGTAAAAGAAAATGTCTGGGACCAAATTTATTTTATTGCAGATAGATAGATAGAGAGGTAAACAGTTATAAATATACTGAGATAGATATTAACAGATTCAGATCAATTGCTCTTTGCCTTCTGAGTTTCAAATATCTTTGACTCGTTCCTTGTCATATTTTATTCATGGTTCGAATGTCATTGGAAACAAGCATCATTGGACGAAGGCCAGTCAGTCAATGGGTCGGCCTGGGGCCAATTTATGATTACGTCGTCCACTAAAGAGAGCTCGGCCAGATTTTCTTTGGTTTAAGCTTAAATGTCTGCTTGTTTTTTATCACTGCCTCAGAGGTGATATAGAAACAAATTTTAAGTATTCTTAAAATCTTTTGAATCTTGTAGTAATAAAGGTATAATAAAACAGAGTGCTGTCAAGCATAATCATGGAAGTACAAGCAATTTACACCTTTACTTTGTATATATTCATACAAACAAAAATAATGTCTAGCACAAGGGTCATTGGTGTCGCTTCAAAATGGCTGCTTCCTTGATTGAATTGGATTCCAATAGAGAAACAGAGATTGCAATAGAATGAATGAGCGTATCTTCAGTTGTATATCTAGAAAGGATCAATACAGGGCCTCTGCTAAAAGAATCAGTATTTCTATTATGTACTACAGCAAACCATATAAAAGATGACAGAACAATGTCCCCAAAACGAAATTAAACTAAAATTACTAATTATCATCTGAGTCTATCCTTCTAATCTACAAATCAACCATTCATCCGTGCATTGAAGACTGCTGCCATATATGGTCTGGTGCCCCCACTAGTCATATCGATCACCTCTACAGAGAGATATGCAATGTAATAGGTCCTGATCTGACATCTCGTCAACAGTCACTTTCTCACAGACATGGTGTGGCTTCCCTCTGTCTTTTCAACAAATATTTTCATGGCAACTGCTCTGATGAGCTATTTTCACTGGTGCACAAGCTGCATGAATTTAAGCGTTTGACTAGGTTGGCATTTCGGTCCCACCATTTCATTGTTGAAACAGTTAAATGTAACTGCCACTTCTTAACTCGCACTTCTCAACAGTGGAACTCCCTTCCTCTTACTTGATTCCCTGATAGCTATAATCTTCAAATATTAAAATGTAATGTCAATCGACATCTTCTGATGCCTTGATCTTGATCCCCGTCCTTCTCTATATATTTTCCTCTTTACTCTTGCTCTCACTCTTTGTAACCCCTTCCGTGATAGTGGCACTCCCGCCTTGCTTGGGGTGAAATGCTTAAAAATTACTGCCTGCATATGGGCAGAAAACGAATATACAAACATAGAAATTTGTATAAGACAAAGAATGTGGTTCTACAGAAGGATATTGAGAATCCCCTGGACGGAACATGTGGTGAGCAACGACGAACATTTTGAGAAAATGGAAACAAAAATGCAAGCTTATGCTTGACATCTGAAAGGGACAGTTCAAACTTCTAGGTCATATAATGAGGAAAGAGGGCTTGGCAAATTTGATACGAACACTAAAGATTGAAGGTAAGAAGACAGAGAAAAACAACGCATATCCTGACCTAGTGAGCTTGAGTAAATGTATGGCGGAACAAAGTTTAGGAGAGGGGTTACAGAAGATTTGGAGCAAGATCAGATAGGAGTGATCGAGGAAAGGATGAGGAGAAGGGTAGTGGATAGATCAAGGCAAATGGAGATGTCGATTGACATTACACTTGAATAGCTGGAGATTATAGCTCTCAGGGAAACAGGAATAGGGAAGGGAGTTCCACAGGCGAGAGGTGCGAGACATGAAGCTATTAGAGTAGAAGAGACGGCTACATTTAGGAGTTTCGACAGTGAAGGGGTGAGAGCGGGATGCCAGCCTCGTAGGGCGCTGGAACGCATGACGTCTGGGAACCAGCGAATGCAGCTCCTCGAAGCAATTTCCATGAAAGTATTTGTAAAAAAGACAGAGAGAGACAACGGCGCGTCTGTGAGAAAGTGACTGTAGACGAGATGCCAGAACAGGGCTAATTATATTGCATATCCGCCTCTGGAGCCTATCAAGAACCCCGAGGCAAACAGAAAGGGGCTCCAGACCATATATGGCAGCAATACTCCATGCAAGGGCGAATTGTTCCGGGGAGAAAAATTTCCTGGCGCGGCACAGGGAGCCAACTTTCCTTGCGGTGGACGAAGCAATTGATTCAATGTATTTGATCCATCTCAGGTCAGCAGTCAACGTAAGACAGAGCAGCCGCAGAGAGTTGGTCTCGAGAAGTTGAGCGTCAGACATTCTAATGGAGGGCAGGGAAGGATCTCTATGGTGATTAATAGACAGCAGTTTTGTTTTAAAGACAAAATTTATTAAGAACAATTACAAAAATTTAAATCTAGGAAAATAGATACAAAAATCAAACAAGAGCAACAATTTAAATATCTGTGAAGTGTCTTAACAGGGGATGGAACGTGAGACACTGAAATCCGAAATATGCCTTCCAAAATCTAAGCAAAGCATTAAGAAACAGGTAAATTTCTTTCGATACAAAGAAAAGAATGCTGAACTGTTATGGTCACGGAAAATGGCAGTTAATGTTGGACAATTTCCTCACAGACGAAGAAGAGATTTGAAGCAACATTACCCGTGTTTGTGTAAATGGTTGGAAGAATATGGATTATGTAGATTGCAGGCGTATCACGTTGAAACACCGGTTCTCTCACCAAAGTTGAGCTATACCGTGTCTGGTCAGTACCTAGATGGGTAACAGTTTGTGAATAGCAGGTGCTTACAGAGAAAGAGATGAAATTTCTAGAACCCTAAATGGGGTAAGATAGAAGGATGATAAGGATATCATGGACCGAACATGTGAGCAACGACGAGGTTTTAGAGAGGATTCAAACAAGGAGAAGGCTTGTACTTTACATCAGGAAGAGTCAGCTGAAGTTTCTGGGACACGTAATGAAAAAGGAGGGCTTGGAGAATCGGATACTCACAGGTCGAACAGAGGAAAAGAGAGACAAGTGAAAGCAAAGCATGATATACCTGGCGGGGTTAAGCAAGTAGATGACAGAGCCTGGTCTGGGTGAGGTAGAGGAGGGACGAAACTTATTGAGAGCTACAAAGGAAAGGGGGAAGTGAAGAGCCATAATTTAACACTCACGTGAGAGTGAATTCAAGGAAAACAGTGAAAACTACGAGTAAGCTACTTAGTGATTAAGGGAATGGATGAAACAATACAGCAATGAACGGGGGGGTATGATTACTCATATCAACAGAAGATAGGATGTTGTGGAGGGGCATGATCGCCCACGTTCTGAAAGTCCATGGCACATGAAATGACACTACTTAAGTTGTCCGCTCGTAAAAACAGGAAAAAAGGTGCCGGAGAATAATTTTGGATTTTTAGTAAATATATATATGCAGATGATAGCAAAAGGTATGAGTGCACCTCACTGGCTATCAGATGATCTCTCTACTGATCTAACTCTATGGGGAAAAGACGACACGATGTTTATTATGTTGAAGAATTAGGGAGAGTCGACAGACTGTTTATTACTTTGAATCAATCAATGAGAGTCGACACGATGTTTATTATGTTGAGGAATTGTAGGGGAGTCGACAGGTTGGTTATTACTTTGAAGAAATCAATCATAGGTTATTCGATGTTTATTACGTTGAAGAAATGGGGAGGGACGACAAGCTGGTTATTACTTTCAATAAATCAATGAGTTTACACGATGTTTATTACGTTAAGAAACTGGAGAGAATCGACAGGTTGCATATTACTTTGAAGAAATCAATGAGAGTCGAATTGATATGTTTTACGTTAAATAGTTGAGGAAGTGTCGACGGTCTCATCATTTTCTCCAATCTCTTTGTCCTCAGCAAGTGCCCAACAAATTTCAGTCTTTTTTCTCCAACCTAAGTATAAGCGTATTTTTTTTGTTTCCATTTTCCTTAAACCTTTCTTTTTACTCTTAGGTTCAGTCTAAGGTATTCTCATCTTCTTTCATCAGCATTCACTGTCATGTAGGGGGACTGATATCACATAACAGTTCAGAACATTTTTTTTTATTTTAGTTTCCTGTTGCATAATACTTTGCTTAGATTTGTGAAGGCATTTTTCCAGCGCACCTTCGGTTTTCGGTGTCACATTTATTATCATTTTGTTGTTTTACCCAGATATATATATTTTCGTACTTGCTTGATTTTGGGATATCCATTTTGCTAAAAATTTTGGATTTCCGTCTTACTATCTTTTTTTGCAATTGATGCTTAGTCCTTTCTTCCGTCTTTTCCTTAATACCTTCTCTAGGATTTTCTGCAGTTTTCTTTCTGTGTCTGCTATCAACACTTATTTTATTATTCGTATCAATAAAAAAATCCTAGTAGAACTCCTAGTCCTCTCAGAAGAAGACAGATCCTTGCCTTACAACCTTTCTATTTTGCGTATTTTGTAAATTCCTATGAATTTCTACTTGTAGAAAATGCGAAATATAATCCACAAGTATTCCAGGCCAAGGTCGAAAGCAAAACGTTGGATACCGGGATTACTGGAAAATTTCCAATAAATTTCTGAATTGCGGCAAAGCTTCAGTGCCCACTATCATAAATAGGCCCAAGGTCGTCTCCTCGTCGTCGTATGAGGCAAAGCATTTCATCTTTACTTCTACCAGAACCTTAGAAGACAAAGGACATCCACTCCACGGTTTTCAGACTGCAATCTCAGCAATATTTTTATCACTGACTGGAAAGTCTCAAGTATTATCAAAACTAATAACGCTACCGTTCCAGATATAATCCTTAAATTATACCAGATCATAGCGAAACTACTTAACCGCTGCTTGAAAGGGATGTTCTTCCCATGTTTGTGAAAGATATCAAGTGTAAGCCGTATTTTCAAGAATGCGTGTGAGCGCTCATCTCAATCACAGTATAGCTCTAGCAGTAACCTGAGTCTTATTAGGAATTCTTTTGAAGCTCTGAACAACGTGAAAGTTGTTGATCACTTCAATAGAGAAAACCTCTTGAGCTACAAGCAGAAGAATTCTTAATCTTCTCAACACAGACTATTCCCTCTTCTTTTTCTCTCCCCACTTCTATTCTGTCTCTTCTCTTTTTCTTCCTTTCGCTTGATAGCCCCACTAGCTTTCTTAAGAAATATTTACCTTAAAGGTCATCCGGCTTTATTTCCCTCTTCGGATAGGGCAGGTGTGTCGTTTCGATAGAGTTGATTTGGGTTTCCCAACACTTTACGATATAGGAGATTGACAACGATGTCTAGTGTGGAGACATCCGTGTACGATTTGTACCACAGACAATATATCGCAGTTACTGTTTGTGGCCGTGGTAACTTTTGTTACTTCGAGGTGTAGGACTATTTTTTAAATCAGGCTGGAATAAGAACATCGTCAATAAAATATATAAAAATTTTGATAGCTCTAAAAAATGTTTGTTGAATATAAAGAAAAACTGGTTAAATAAAAAGGTTTTCTGGTCAGAAACGCTAAAGTAATAGCAAGTTTGGTGACTCAGTTCTTCAACACAGTAACCATCGAGTCGATTTGATTTATTCATATTAATAACCAGCCTGTCGACTGTCACTTGATACTTCAACGTAACAAACATCGAACCGGCTCACATTCATTTTTTCGAGTAATAACCAGCTCGATCACTCTCCTTCAAACCTTAAACGGAGTAAGCATCGAGTCGACTCTTACTGATTTCTACAAAGAATGAAATAACCCGTTTACTCATCCTTTTTTCGTCAACGTAATAAAGATAAGTGTCGACTATCAGTGGTTTTTTTTATTCAAAGTAATAACCATCCTAAAGATTCTTCCTCAATCCTTCAACATCATAAACATGGCGTCTACTCCCATTGATTGATTCAAAATAATAACTGGTCGTCGATTCTCGTTCAGCTCTTGAACGAAATAAACATCCTGTCGAAACTCAATGATTTCTTCATAGTAATAACCAGACTATCGATTCTCCCTCAATTCTCTCTCTACTCTTCCACCTAATACTCATCGAGTTGACTCTCACTGCGTTCTACAAAGTAATAACCTACCTGAATGCTTCAATGTAAGAAACATTGAGAAAACTCTCACTGATTTCTTCAAGTAATAATCAGCACATCGACTCAACCTCACTTCTTCTATCATGCATGTAACTGTGTTTTATCCCAAACTACAGGAATTGCGGGTGTGCTGTTAGCGACGAGCGTCTTCCAGCAATCCCGGGCCGTACCGACGCGACTTCTGCTCTCGTCTGTATTTTCGCTTCTGCCATCGGGCGACTTTCCCTTTTAACCCGTCTCTGCTTGTGTCTCTGGACCTGAGGAGTTACCATTTACATATACAACTCCCCCACCTCAAATTGACATTGATATATATATATATATATATATATATATATATATATATATATATATATATATATATATATATATATATTCTACCCGACCGTCTTAATCTGAGGAGGTTTTGACAATTAACCATATAGTACTCCCTTTGTTTAGAATCTTCCGAGATATTTTCTCTGTGTAAAGATAAAGTTGTTTTATAGCGGAACGCGACAACACAAACAAATCCCAAGATTGGAAATTAAGAAAAAGCAGTTCTTTCTTTGTATGGAATAATTTGCAATAACACATACGTTTTAGGACAGATAGTAATGTAAATGTTGAAGCTTAAATAAGCATGGAATAATACAACACAAAATGTACGTTAACAAAATGTATTGAAACAAAGAATAGGTACACAATATTTACAGTTAGTTTGGTATATTCTTGGGAAGACTGTTCCTGCATAATGGGTTGACTAAATCGCAGTCGGGCAGAGTCTCTGGATTCAATTTCTTAATCTCTACTATCTTCCCCGTCTTCCGGTACCAACCCATATTTATATGGTCGGTAGTCCGCTTATGTAAATTAGGTGTATCATACACAACAGTAAACAAACCACCGAATGTTTTTCTCGGGGTAAAGAAACACGGATAACACATAAAACATGTATCTTATTATCGGTGGAAAGTAGATAGGGTGAGGACCTGGGTTTTTCTCAATTTTACTGAATCCTGAATGGGTGTTACAGCACAATTTCTCTAACCATGGAATCACTGGAAGCGTTTCTCAATCATCAAGTTCTTCCTAACAGGTAAAGCCCTTGACGGTAACTGTTAACGACTAATAAACCGAAGCCCAAGTGATCAACCTTCTTATTACTTTACATAAATGATCTCTCTATGAGTATATACCGATCATTTGTGAATATATATTCTGATCATACAACGGTGCAGGACTGGTTGACCAAAGCTTGACAGTTAATACCTCCTTCGACCTGACTTTAACAGCTTAGTGGGGGAAAACTGACTGGAATCATTCAATGCCTCGAAGACCAAACTAATGACGTTCCATCATCACTGAGAGGACCCTGAATTTTCGTATATACGATACATCGCTAAAGATTCTGAAAAACATTGTTCCCTGTATCGATCCAATAAGTACCTGACTTTTCCTGTTATTCTTTACAAAGACCAGATCAGACCGAAAATGGAGTGTAGTGCTGCCATATATGGGCAGGAGCTGCCCAGTCATCACTTTCCAGTCTTGATAGATTTCAACGGCGTCTTTGCGTTCTTATGTTCCTTAGATCCACCAATTCTAAACTTTACAGCAGAGACTCGGCATGCTACACACATTTTAGCGAACCAGCCTGATTCACTTCGTATTCATTAGTGAAATATAAGTCCACTATGTCAGCTTCCAACGAACCAGTGTTTTGTGTAACTGACACCCGAAAGGATCTTCCCCGATCACTACAATCATAACCAGTTCAAGTCTAGGCTTAAACCTTATCTTCCCTGCGTATGCCCATAATCTATACCGCTTACACTGTAGTCTTCTACCTTGAGTAGCTCTCCGGGCATCTACAGCGTTCTCAACTATTTCCTAAACTTCTGACTAGATTTTGACCATAAGGAAAATAATCAGCAGACAATTCTTAATGGACTATTTAAATTATTCGGACTATTGTCCTCATCTTTGTTGCCATATTTGTCACAATGTTTCGGCCGTTGTACGCTCCGGCCTTCTTCAGGTGGTTGTAATGTCGAACTGAACAATACTCCGAATAATGTAAATAGTGTACATAATACCTCATCTCAGAAATATAGACAGAAACTTTTATTTGTCTTAATCCTACATATGAGGGGTGGGGTTGAAATGTTCAGAGGCCTGGCTATGAAGGAGTGATGCTAGAGCTATGAAATCATTTCTGAGTGTATTATAGTTGCTGCTTTGTAAATAAAGGGAAAGACTTTATAAATTCCAACCAGTGGTGATGTTGAATGTTCAGTCAATGAATACTGAATTTTCTTGCGTGAAAACGGCTAATTTTACCATTCCTATAACAAGAATCAGTAATGCAAAGCGTATTATTTTTAGAGTTTATTTTCTCAATTCTTACGCGTCGTGTGTAGTCTTCAGCTGTATAATTTGCTTTCAGGCGTTCCTCCATGTGGTTATTTGCTGAAACAATTTCGAAAGACCTGACTGGCTTATATTCGACACAACAGATTCGTCTTGAATCATTACTAATATCACCATTGAATGGGTGCGAGCCAGTGCTAACATATATGGAAATAACGAAGTTATTTCTCTGAGCATATCTATGTTTGTATATAGATGCGTGATAGATAGATAGATAGATAGATAGATAGATAGATAGATAGATAGATAGATGTGACCAGGTGCACACAAATTTGAATTTAAATAGACATAGAAAAAAATATGACGGAGATAGATAGATAGATAGATAGATAGATAGATAGATAGATAGATAGATGGCTTATATTCGACACAACAGATTCGTCTTGAATCATTACTAATATCACCATTGAGCCAGTGCTAACATATATGTTCATAACGAACTTATTTCTCTGAGCACATTTGTGTTTGTATATAGATGCGTGATAGATAGATAGATAGATAGATAGATAGATAGATAGATAGATAGATGTGAGCAGCGGCATGCAAATTAGAACTTAAATATCAATAGATAGATGGATAGAAATATACACTGAGATAGATAGATAGATACATAGATAGATAGATAGATAGATAGATAGATAGATAGATACACGCAAATTTGAACTTAAATACACATCGATAGAGATATGGACGGAGATAGATAGATACATAGATAAAGAAAGAGAGAGAGAGAGAGAGTGAGAGAGAGATAGAAACTAGGGTTTCAATACCCCTCTCAATTCTTCTATTGTGCAGTACACGATTAAGAATGGTCATAGAAAGATCTGAGCCAGAAATATCTATCCAATATCCATATCTTAGAGGACCACCTCCCTTCAATATGGGTTATCATGGCATGCCAGTGATAAGACTTCTCTGAAGATAATAGACGAACGGACAATGTGAAGGAGAGTTAGATTCATGCATTTACCAAATGCCATTAGCGAGAAAGTATTGAGCTCTTTCTAATCGGATTCAGTCATTTTTTGCTTGAGTGTTGGTGCCAAAAGGCCAATGTCGTTCTGTCATGGAAATCATTTCACAATCATGACATGTCTTCAACAACTATGACTTACCAGGTTTCTTGCATTTCCTCAGCTGTCCACCTACTTTCATATCAGCTGAAAATGCTTATAAAATATATAAATGTGAATATCTTGGAATCTCGTCCCTTCGCAATATAACGTGACGCTATGTGTCGTCACGAGGATTGGCTAATAATGATAATTTCTTATCATAGAAATTCAAACAGAAATGGCTCTGTCAGCCAAGGTTTGGTGTGATTTGGTTTTGTTTGCGACATATCAACCTGAATGGGTTACTTAATGCCGACTTTTTTTAAGATTTTTATTGCTGGTAATATTTTTTCCAAAAATGTATTGCTGGTATTAAAAACAATTTTTAGAGTCATGGCGTTTGGACCCCAATTTTGGGGTTAACTATTTGACCTTAACAGGGGTTACCGCCCCATGTCAGGGTGAACCTGAGAACACCAACAATTAAGAGATGGTTCCACACTCCTCAAAACCTCCTGATGAGAGGACTTGCAGTCGGATGTAGTTTATCGTCTTACCCAGGACGCGGATGTAGTTTATAGTCTTACGCAGGAGGTGGATGTTGCTTATCGTCTTACCCAGGAAGTTGTGTAGTTTATCGTCTTACCCAGGACACTGACGTAGTTTATCGTCTTACCCAGGAAGCGGATGTAGTTTATCGTCTTACCCAGGAGGTGGATGTAGTTTATAGTCATAATCATTGACGTAGATGTAGTTTATCGTCTTACCCAGGACGTGGATATAGTTTATCGTCATACCCAGGGCGCGGATGTAGTTTATCGTCTTACCCAGGAGGTGGATGTAGTTTATTGTCATACCCAGGACATGGATGTAGTTTATCGTCTTACATAGGAGGTGGATGTAGTTTATCGTTTTGTCCAGGGCGCGGATGTAGTTTATCGTCTTACCCAGGGCGCGGATGTAGTTTATCGTCTTACCCAGGGCTTTATGTGAACCAAGGTTAGTATATCAGTCGAAACAGATCGAACATACGCTCTGTTTTATTTTTTAAGATTTAACATACCACTTTACTTATATTTTTAAAATTTATTTTAACATTTTTACTTAGAATCTGTAAATCACTGGGACTCTCGCTTCTTTTCTCGTTTGTTCTCGTTCCTTCGATTTTTTTCTTCTCAAAAAATCTCTTCTGCCAAAATTTCAAATGCAGCCTACTTTCTAAAAACGGAAGTACACCAAACAACAGCCTTGCAGACATAGGTAAACTGTATATTGTATGGCACTAAATTCGTCTGAAACAAGGTATCGGTCGAATATCTCTGGCACTTATGGATTTTCTTTACATCACGTCAAACTAATAGCTTCCTGAAAATGACAAGTAGCTTAAAACCAAATGAAATCTCCAAGAATTATTAGGAATGGCCGATTTGCCAGGAGTAAACAGCCGAATATTACATACGTGCATGAACCAAATTTTAATCTGAATTCATCAGGAAATTATATATCACGGCTGACTTTGGCGAATTTGTATGATTCTTCCACGTCAGTTGCAGACTTTCAGGTGGTCAATGGGGTCTGTACAGGAAAAGAACGCTTTTCTAATACAGGAGAGGATCTAGCCTGTGGTGGTAGTTCCGGACGTGTAGAATTTCCAATTTTCTTGTGTTCCTTCTCTGAGGCTTTTATAGACCGACCCAGCGTAATGGTTATCGGCGTGGGTAATGACATTAGCCGTCTGAGTTCAAATTCCGACGAACTCTGCTACATTCACTGACGTATTAATGTCATGAAAGCATTTTTCTCTGTAGATTTTATGAAAAAATCCTTCAAGATGAATTATTCATAAACCGTGTATGATACGAGATTACTGTAAATTTAAAATAAATGCATTATCAAATATTGAAACCCATTCGTTACTTTTGTCAAGCCTAGAGTAGAGTGGTTTGCGTCTCTTAACCTCGCTAAGGCAACAACTCCAGGAAGATAACTCTGATTTCAAAGATATGGAGATGACAACGAGAATATACCCCACTATCTTCCCAAGACAATAGGGGAATTCACAGAAATAGAATATGTGGAAACCTAATCAGAGAGAAGGTTTCGAATTGCTGTCGAAATCGTTACATTAAATTGCGAGCAAATAACGCTATATCTTTTCCTTTCAGTTATGGGCAAAGAACATTATGACATGGCCCTATAACCATCGTTGACAGCCTGTCAGAAGGACAGCTTCTGAATTTGAAACCCGAGTAGAGTTGCTTGGAGACCGTTTGGCACGCCATGGGCACCAGTTCTCCATATTCGGTTCTTCCAAAAAGTGTAGCCATTTCTGCACAAGCCGTTAGCACTCTAATCAAATGCCATTTAGCGTTTGTCTAGTTGTCCGTTTATAAGTGAGCATACCTAGAAAATATGTCCTCATATCATAGAAAATATATTTTAAAACAGTAAATGACTTTGCTAAACAGACGCTTCCTCTGTAACTAAAAGGTATAGCACATCTGGACAAATATTGGTTCTGTGCAGGATACAAGTTCGATTCTTGAGGGGGGGGGGAGACATATACTCTACGAAAGTTCCCCGATATTCATGCCGATAAATGTAATTAATACTGTTTATTATAAACAGAGCATTAACTTAAATCTTACTTATTATAAAACCCAGGTTGTGTGTGTGTGTGTGTGTGTGTGTGTGTGTCTGTACGTTTATATATTGGATCGGATTTCCTACATTTTTCAACCGATTTCAACAAAACTTCACAGGACTATGTAAAATTACTTCGTAGTGGTTCTGACAGCGCCCAAAATTGGAAAAACACAATTGTTTTTGCACGAAATCAATTTGAAAACATGATTAAGAGGCATCGCGAGAATGAAAGGGGGACAACTCATATCGAGTTATACTTATTAATATCGAGTTATCGAGTTATACTTATTATAAAACCCAGGATGGTTGTTTGTGTGTGTGTATGTGTGTTCGTTTATATATGGGATCGGATTTCCTACATTTTTCAACCGATTTAAACAAAACTTCACATTTTTTTGGCAGGTAGTGTTTCTTATTGTCTTGCACACTTTTTTCTTTATTTTTACATTAAGAATGCTTTAAAAATTCCATTTACAAGACAACTGTTTATAATAAAATTCTATTCAATCGGTAGACTCATAACAATTGAAAACAATGTTTTTGTTTGAGTTTGGGTTTGACCAATTCGTAAAATAAATAAATAAATAAAACTAATTAAGACATGCGTGTCCGTCAACCTTAAACAATAATCTTTGTCAATTTTATTTTTCAGTCTTTATGATGGTCGATATTTGATCTATTTCTTACTGTTACATCCCCGGGCAACTACTACTAGTAATCTATAAAAATAACATATAAAAAGAAAATATACAAAGATGTATGATAAAATATAGATTTACGGTGTGCTATACTTATGGAATAAGTACTCAATACCAGAGATAGAGCTTATGTAAATATAAAAGACATTGAAGTCAACAGCCAGAGGCGGCAGTGCTCAAACGAATCGTCAGGCACAGACAGTCACCTCTGGGTGTTGACTTCAATGTCCAATTTTTATATATATATATATATATATATATATATATATATATATATATATATTCATGATGTATTCTGGTATACGGCCGTTGTTCATCCGGTATACGTGACCTAGCCATTGAAGATGACGTTGTCAGATAATATGTACACGCCAGAAGTTTGCCGGTTCCAACTTTGTCTCCGAATGTGATGTCGAGGATACGTCACACATCTATGTCTACACGCACACACACACACACACACACACACACATATATATATATATATATATATATATATATATATTTCATTAGTTTAAGAAAATGCAAATTAACTTTTCAGTCAGTAAGTCTGTCAAAGTGGATTCTAAATAGTTCTCTTCAAACGATTTTTGTGTGCTTATCAGAAAATAGAATTGGTGACCTGGGGATAATTTTTTTCTTTGTATTCTTCTTTGTACTTTATACAATTATCAAATGTTTCCTATAAAATTCTTTAGGAGCGCGCAATCCTTCTGTTTGGGAGTAAATGGGGGTCATCACATTTATTGAATAATTATTCTTATTTTGCAAGTCAATATCTTTGTATGCATGTGGGGGGTGGGAGAAAGAGAGATAGAGAGAGAGAGGTCTAGTGTGTTTGAAGTGGTCACTTCTATACTAAACGTATTTGTGCTTTCTCGAATGTTGTTGCGGAACGAATAGCAATTTTGGTTTGGAATGGACCGTTGAATTAGATAAATTTAAAAGTAATTTTGTGAAATATTTGGTTAGACCCGTGAGACACTGTGTGCACATTAGCATAAATTAACATAATTAACATAAATTAACATAAATTAACATAATCAACAGAAGAACTGACTGAGGAATTCGATCAGATTCTATGATTTTTGCAACGCTGTTTCATACATGAGTCCGCCGAATAATCAGCTAAAGATATCAAAGATTGAAGTCTAAAAGGGGACAACAAAATTAAGTAAAATGGATGGCAGAGAGATAGACAATATATTAAGAGCTACAAATATCAGGAAATTAGGGAGAACCTGAAGGGACAAGCAGCATAATTTATTTTGCTTATATATATATATATATATATATATATATATATATAAAACGATTGCGGCTTAACGATTGCGTCAACATGAAACAGCTTGTCGCTTCTGAGTGTTGACTCCTATGTTCATTTTTATATTTATGTTTTCACACAAACAAACATATA